TGTGTGCGTGTGTGTGTGTTGAGACTTGTGGACTAAAATATAACGACTTCCATTCTCCCCAAAACGCCTCATGGGACTTTACCTCATTTCACATGGAAGGGAGCGTGGGAAAAAAGGCAAAATACATTGCGCTGCCTTTCAGCTTTTCGTTATTTTAAATGTTTGAAAGTACAGGGAGATGCCATTTCAGCTGAAGAAAGTTTGACTTTGAAGTGCGAGGCTACGGCAGCGGCACGACGGGCAAAAAAGGGAATCCGTGATTGGGAGGAGGAACGGCGGGAAACTGTGGCCGGGGTAAGAATTTGTATTCATAGTGGTAAATTACAGATTCCTGCCGTGTGCACAGGAAGTCTTTCATGTTCTTTAAAACGCAGAATTTTAACCATCCTTCTGTCCTCAATGTGACCTCACCCGCCGCACACACATATATATATACTTATACACATACACAAACCACAACAGCCATGAAAGGCCCAGCCAATTATCTCCACCGCTAGCGTCTATTTCTGGTTGGGACCACGCACCTCATCAAGGGCCGGTCCAATTCACTCCTGCAACACACCGTCTCCCCTCCCCTTCATCTCCTGCCGGGTTTGAACGAGGACACGCAAATACCTTACACACAATACTGCACTGTGTGTGTGTGTGTGCCGGTGTATGTGCACGCACACACCCGCAACTGTCTACTCATTAGCAAGCAATTAGGCTGATGCCTCTTTGAAATGTTACTCAGTGAGAACTGGCTTGACAAGCGAGAGCAGCGTGGAAGTATAAACAAGAGTCTGAGGAAGGGGAGGGGTGGGGTTGGTAGCAAGGAGCTGGGAGGTGGAGGTTGAGTGGGGGGGTAAATTGACCTTCATTTAACCAAGCAGGCCAATTAAGAGCAAATTCTCATTTACAGGAGGTGGTTGGACAATGAGCCCCTAAAGATGAAGTGGAAGAGGGTGGTCATAATGTTAATGTTCCACTGGTGCAAAGTGTGTTTAAATGCTGCGTAATAAATCCCCCCCCCCCGACTCAAGTAAAGCTTGAACTTAAGCGGGGGAGGCAGGCGTGGAGTGGCGAGGGAGATGGAGTGATATGGGGGACGAGGGGTGGAGGGAAGCATTTAAATGGCGTGAAGAGGCTACGGAAGCTGGTCGACCTTGTGTCCTTGGTGGGATGCTGATGAACGGCTACTGAAAATACAGCCAAAATATTACATTCATAAACCAACTGAGTGAAAAACCCACCAGACTCTCATTCCTTCATCTCGTTCCTCAATTATCACTCTGATTTCAGACTCTGATGATATTATCAGTGCTCCTGGCTATAGCTATATCGTTTCATAATAGAGCGATGTGCGCATGTGAATATGTACTGTTAGGAGTGAGCATCCTCACAGGAGTCTGCATAACAGTCCAGGTTGAACAGATGTTAGGAGCATGACAATGACGCAATAACTAAATGACTAAATGAATCATCT